TAATGCATGATTACAATAATTTGATGAAAGTAGTAGCTCTGTATATTGTTTATCTAGTTTATGTATTTTCTATTTATTTATAATAATATTTAAATATGAGAATAGAACAAATTTTCACAAATTATTTTTTCTTGAACAGGTGCCCATTTTTACATCGTACTGCTGGTGATACTGAGAGACGTTATCATCTTCGCTATTACAAAACATGCATGTGTGTTCATGATACAGACACACGTGGTTTTTGTGTTAAAAATGGACCTCATTGTGCCTTTGCGCATGGCAATCATGATATACGACAACCTGTGTATGATATCAAAGAAATGCAAGCATTGGAAAATCCAGATACAGATCCCAATTCTTCGTCCAATGGACCAAACATTCTTGATAAGGAACGAAACTTGATGAATGAAGATCCAAAATGGCAGGATACAAATTATGTACTTAGTAATTATAAAACGGAACCTTGTAAACGACCTCCAAGACTTTGTCGTCAGGGTTATGCTTGTCCACAATATCATAACAGTAAAGATAAAAGGCGTAGTCCACGAAAATACAAATATAGGTAAAAATTCATGTTTTTGTTTTTGTTTTGTTTCATTCTATTTTAAACGCCATTTATTTTGATATTATTTTAATATTATTATTATTATCGTTTTTCTAGATCAACACCATGTCCAAATGTAAAACATGGAGAAGAATGGGGAGAACCTGGAAATTGTGAACAAGGAGATGCCTGCACGTATTGTCATACCCGTACAGAACAACAATTTCATCCTGAAATTTACAAATCAACTAAATGCAATGATGTACAACAGGCTGGTTACTGTCCACGTGGAGTCTTCTGTGCATTTGCGCATGTTGACCGTGAGTGTACCCTCATSAATCGTACGTAAAACAGTTGTTATCTATTTCAACAGGCTTAGAATATTTTGCAAAGAATTTTTTTATTTGAAATAATATCAAACATGAAATTGATGTCATTCAAATTGCGAATWCATTATTCTCTCATTGTATAGATTACTTAATTTTGTATAATTGATTTAAATTCGATTTAAGGGATAACACCACTATAGAGCCCGAAAAAAGAGCCTTTTTTTAAGGAATTTTTTTTGCGAAAATTAAATGAGGAATAGAATTTTTTTTTTTGAGGATTGGTTAATCATATATTGAACTATGTACACAAATATTTGTATTGATTTTAGATAGAAAATGGCATAGTCGGTATTCGTGVCTGAACAAAACCCTGTTTTTGCAGNAATACTTTTTTGTAAATAATATGAAAGAGCATCAGATGATGCAATAAAAAATATATGATTCTATTTAAAAAAACATTAATGACCTTCATATGTCCTTGACACGTCCACCTAAAAAAAAAAAAGTACCATCAGTATGAGCCCCTTTTAAATCCATTCAACTCCATGTGAAACATTGTCTGCTACGCGTAATAATAAAAACGTAAATCAAGGTGGTAAAATGTGGTGACCCATCCTGTATATGCAAGAAGTTCATATGTGAAGATTTACTAAGAAATAAATAATATTAATGCAAGTATTTGAGTAGATCAAAAAAATATCAATAGTTATTAATTTGTCTTATTATACGCGTCGTGTTAAACAGTAATAATTGTAATATTTTTATAAATTAAGAAACACACGAATCTCTCTCTCTCTCTCTCTCTTTCTCAATTCGTTCATTACAGTCTAATCATTATGTTTATTTTCAATGAATATGAGCACCAGGTTTATAGTTATATGATAAAAGTAAACGGATACTAATATGCGGAAAGGGAAGTTGGAGAAAATGGAGGGGATATTCTCACTGGGTCCATTATTGCTGCTCACTGTACAACTCACTGCAATGTACGTAACGAGAATTTGTAATGTAGTATTCGCGAAAATCTTTTGTACAAGAACAAATTCTGGTACAACATTATTTCAATCTTTAACTTCAATCAAATGTAAAATTCTAAATGATTCTTTATTAAATTATTATTATTATTTTTTTTTTTTTTTGGAATGAAAGTTTAATAAATTACTCTGTACAAATACTAAGGACTAAATTTTTAGGTATACTGGTGTATAATTTTTTTCTTTTTTTTTATTGAATATTTAGGTAATAAAAACAACGAGACCAATTGATTGACCATTATAGGTGAAATCTCAGTTATAAATACAGAATAAAAGTATATATATATATTAACAAAATAGTAATTTAACAGTAAATTTATTTTGTTATGAGATAACAATGGATAAAAATGTTGTATATGGGTATGCCAATATTGTTGTGGTATATATGGATTATTTTATAAGTTAACTATTATAGATTATTATTACTTTTTATATATTTTATTGTCTAATGTCGTAGTATTTATTAGAAAATTTCAAGCATTCTCAAGTCTTAAACCTATATTCTTTATGTAGAATTGTTGCACTTTCATAAATTACTATCATATATATATATACAGTAAGTGCCATTTAAAATTATACACCGTTATGCTTAACTAGATTTTTGCTTGAAAACTATTGGTATAATATGTTTAGGATAATGACAATTTAAGAATATATACATTAGTATACCTTAATTACATATTTAATGAATTTAACTTGAAAGGTATATATATATAACTCAAAAATAAACAACTCCTATTAGACTAGGTTCGTTGTCTCTATGAAAATTCTTTCATTGATTATTGTTTATATGACTTTCTGAATGATACATATGTATAATGAGAATAATATTCGTAATGAATAGAATTTCCTTTTTTGGAATGTCATGTAAACAACAATCGATAAAAGAATTTTTTTCAGAGATACATTTCTTTCGATTCATAAGTCATTAATCATTTAAAGTATGCCAAACACTCTAATATATTTTATTAAGGGGTTATATACAGTTAGAATTTTCAAAAAATCGATTTATTTTTAATTTTATTTTCTTAATGTACATATATTTAAGAATACACACAGAAAATTTCATATCGTTCCGGTGAATATTTTCAAAGTTACAAGCTAATTTGAAAAAGCGTTTCAGAGTAAATGCAAAGTGCATTCCAAACTTTAAACGCGTTTTTCTCAAAATGGTGTTATCAAAGTCGGTGACCAACATTACTCGAAAACGGCTAAACCGATTAGTCTCAAATTTTAACACGACCTTCTTAAATATATTTTTTAGTAATTAATCGAAGATTTTTTCTCTCCAATAGATATTTTTTTTTTTATAAACAATTTAAGGCCGAAATTTCGGTGAAGAATCGATTTTTTTTTTTGAGAAACCGCCATTTTGTCAAAAAATTTTATTTTGCTTATTCCTTCGATTAATTACTAGATTTAACATTATTTTAACGAAATCTGTTTGGTTTTTTAATTTCAAATGATCCAGTTCCGAGATATAGTGGTCACCGCAAAACGTCTTTTTTGAGAGGAGCTCCTGGAGATCAGCTGTAGCTCTTTTTCAAATAAATATTTTTACTAGTACTAAGTCTTAAAATACAGTTAAAAGATACCATAATATGTGTATAAATTTTTGGATCAATAAATTTAAAAGGTTTCTCAGAAAAAATTCTGGAAAATTCACTTTTTTTCGGCCGTCTAACTGTATATAACTCCTTAAGTGACTACAAATAAAATGTACAAAAGAGTAATGAAAATCAAAAATCGAGAAAGAAATTTCCCTAGTTCGACTTTCCTCAATTAAAATTCGAAATGGTATATACGATCATCATCGAGATGAATATTTTTTATGGTAAAAAGCATAAATCATCACTGGAAAATCATATATTTTTATGTACTTTCAACGATATAGAAGAAGAAAGAAGTTTCAAAAAAACGAGATAAAAGAGACAAGCAAAGAGAAATGGAGAAACATTTTCAAAAGAGAGAGAGAGAGAGAGAAAAAGAATCAGAGAAGCGCAAAAGTCGGAGACTTCATTATCCAAAGGGTGTCAGCGACTTGCATTTTGCTGCTCTACTGAACCCCCGGAAGTTGACAAGTGAAAAGCAACCATCCGTAATCGGTTCCTTCATTTTCTTCCTTCACTTCGTCTTTTTGGGTGTCTCTCATCTTCTTTTCTTTTTTTTTCTTCGACTATTTCAACCGACAGTTTTCTTCAACGATTGTAACAACATTTATTTAAATCATATTTCAACACAGATTTGATGGAAAATTCTTATCAAAATGTGTGGGCTTTATGCAAGAAACCTTTCTCATTGTTAAATGATCTTCAGTTACTAAAATGTAATTTAACACGTTGATATGCAATAAAATAAACACGATAACGACATAATAAAAAATTAAATGCTTAAAATACGTTAAAATGGATAGGTATTCCTTCATAGACTAACACATCCGGCTTACTTCATTGTATAGTCATAAGCGACAGGTTGCAAATAGGGGGAGATCGTATCTTTGAAGAAGTAGATTTCTAAATAACGGTAGAAGTCGAGTTGAGCATTCCCCGAAGATGCAACGAAGCAAAAGCCGGGAATGCTCGATTCACACGATTTCAACGCACCAACGGATCCTTCCGAGCAAACGGAAACGTATCCGTACTCCAACGATGCACGTTGCTCGAAGGAACACGTTCTCCTTTGCCCTTCTGTGGCATCTAGTGAAAAGGATACACATACAAACATACACACACACACAAATATATATATATATANAAAAAAAAAATAAAAGCTTCCATAGGGACATAAAGAATAAAGTAAAAAAAAAATTCCGTAAAAATTTCAAGTCGATAGCTTGAAAACTCTCCCTCTGAGAGGTGACACCGTTTGTAAAAAGGGCATTTTGAGAAAAACGCGTTTAAAGTTTAGCGCGCGTCAATTTACGCTCCAATCTCTTTTTCCAAGAAAGGTTGTAGCGACTGTAATAATTCGAATTTAAATTTGAAAATTTAACAGAATACGTACAACTATATGTACTTCAAGATGAGACCCAAAAAAAAAAAATCTATTTTTTACAAATTTTACACTGAGATGGTCCCTTAATATTTAGGATTGTTTAAACTAAAATACATTTGTTTTTTTTACTTCTCCCTTCTGACTAGTGATGACTTTGACTTTTCAAATTTTGATCTAATAAAATATCAGATCAATTAGTTCATACTACTAGTTTTCAAAAAAGAATCTAATAAGTGTAATGGTGTTTAATTTTAACTACTTACTGTATTTCTTTATCACATATTAAATCAGTACACATATAGAAGAAGAAGTTTATTTTCCAGGTATACCCCGTTTAGGGTGTTTACCCCGAAGGCCCCCCTCCTACATGTTTGTTGTTCCCCTTGACAATATCCTTAATTCTAATTATGCCCTAATATAATATTAGATATTAATATTAACAATATAAAAACAATATAAAACAATATAAACAACATTAAACAATATACCTCATTTAGTAACTATATAGACTATATAAAACTATAACATATATATACTTCATATTCCTTACATCTATTTCCTTATATGTCTAATTGTTCCACTCATACTCTGTCTATCTTCTCGTTCCCCCTTCCCCCCTATCTTGGCCCATTTTCCTGGCCAGCCTTTCGAAATTTCTCATATATGCACACAGTTGGGGCACCGGTTCCCCCTTCAGCGCCATTTCCACTCTTCTATCTATTTCTTCGCCTCCCCTCTCCCCGATCCACTTCTCTAGGTTCTCCACTACTGCTTTTCCCATTTTTTCCTTTATTATCCCGCATCTACATATGTGCCCCACGTTCTCCGGCTCTCCTCCGCAAATCCTACATCTTACGTCACTGTATCCCTTATTGCCCTCCTTTCCTACATTCCCGCACCTGAGTCTCGCCCAGGTCTCCTTCATTCCTGCTGTTAAATTCCCATTTTCCCAGTATTTCTCTG